TAAGTGGGAGTGAGAAAGAGAACGAAAGAGATAGAGAGGCAGAGAGAGAAATATTGGTTTACAAATAAACAATGAGAGACATGGAATGAAAAACAGATAGAGAGAGAGAGGGGGAGGGAGAGAGGGAGAGAGAGAGAGAGAGAGAGAGGGGGAGGGGGAGAGAGAGAGAGTGATGGAGAGTAGGTGTGTGTGGGAGGATCTCATGGACTGAACTCTCTTTACAAGTATCACAAACAGCAAATCAATATTCCTCATGAGTTCTGATGATCTCCACGATGATTTTTATCTACATTTACTCCCTTGTCACTGTGAATGAAATCTTATCTCTTTGATTAGGAATGAGCGATTGCTCTCTTCTTCGCGTATTAGTTAACACATCTTCAAGCCGTGAGTCACTTCCTAAATGATTCATGTCGCGTCGTCAGGGAAAGCTCAAATTGCACATGTCCTGCTGCTCCTCTGTCACATTATGTCAAGATACGCGTAATTCTTGTGTATTCATTAAAGCCCCACTGGGTCTAGGTCGAGTTGATTTGGCTTCCAATAAATTTAGTGAGAGAACTGTAATTGTTTTAGATCATAAGTCAGTTTTTTCTTTATCTTCTTCTTAGTAATTTTTTTTAGATCACAACTCATTTTTTTCTTTATCTTTCTAGTAATTTTTTTTTTAATTCTTTTTATTTTTTTAATATTCCTTCTTCTTCTTCTTCTTCTTCGATTTGATTTAGATACAACTGATTTGGTCAATTCTGATGATTATGTTTTGTTCATAGATATTCTGTGCGCATATATATTCCTAAGTTGCTTGATTATCAAATACTTGTACTACCGGTAGTTTGTAAGCCAGTTTATATGTTAAGCATCTTTAGGACATTATATACCTTTGAGTCAATCTCAGAGACTAGGCTTTGTAGGATTAATGCATCACTTTAAAGGTAATACAAAGTTTTTGGAAATTTTGAAAATTGGGTGGATAGTGATTCTTTACGATTTTGATATATTTGGATGCCCCTCTGGATGTATTATAAGCACTAGAAAATTTAGCCCCTAAAACACTTCTGCTTTTGAGAAAAATTGGATATAAAAGTTTACCGGTGCTCCCGGTAAATTTTGATAAATTTCAAATAGCGCCTATGGCCGTACAATGGTAGCTGCGACCAAGAAAATCTCAGAATATGTAGTTTTGATATATAATTTCAAATGGGAATAGCTAATCGGTCGATTTTAGTCAAGAAACATTGTTTTATACTTAAATTAATATCTTGACCTTGAGAGGGAACTATACAACATAAAGACTTTAGACTCGATTTCATTCGCGACAACGATCCTTGAATATTGTAGGATCGCATATGCTTCCAATATGTCCATTTGAACCAAATTCATGACCCCATACCAAAACTTTGTATTACCTTTAATGCATCACTTTAATACAGGCTATAGTGCACTGACTTGGTTTTGAAATTAGCAACCACTGCTCATCAACCATTGAGCTGTTGAGCTCCCAATCGGAAAGGCTTTGCAACTGGGCATTTAATAGGATACAATCTTGGAATTGCACAACCAGTGGAAACGGTTTACATGTTTGTAGTGAGTGATTTAGCTTTGGCACTGGCAGCGCCTATTAGAAGTGGGGGGGGGGGGGGATGTGCAAATGAGTATGTGACTATTACAAAAGGGCAACAAAAGGGGAATTTCTCCATTTGTAATTCCTCTGCAAATCTCCTTCTGCCAGGCGCTACAAAATATATGTATATCACACCAAGAAAATCTCTTCTTTTCTTTATGAAGTTGAAATCAATGACATGGACAAGCAAAAAAAAACATCCAAACAAAAAATGTATATATAGATTACAATTAAAAACAAAAATTCTGACACAAAGTTGGAATATAGGATCTCATGTGTTGAATTACTGAATCCATGCGCTTTAAAAAAAATGCTGCATGGTCAGGTTGTGTGTTCAATGATTATTTTTCTCCCTCTTCTCTCTTTCTCTCTCTCTCTCTCTCTCTTGCTGGAATTCATAGTATTTTAAATATAGGAAAGTGTATTTTATAATTCATTCAGAAGTGTTGGTTGCAAAAGACATTTCACAACAGTTATCATAGGAATATGATATGCTTTTAAATATATCTCAACAAGTGCTTGTGAAGAAGTTCTTATGTCTTTTGTTATACATGTATGCACCATTGTTTCTTTTGATACAAGTCACATGTTCCATAGAAACTGAAGAGGGTATGCTCAGAGGATTTTGTATGTCTCAACTCTGACTAAATACTTCTTTGTGTCTTCTAAGAGGCCATCATGAATTTCAATTTTCATCCCTAAGAAACGATTATGGATAACAGTCGTTGCATTTAAGTGATCAGTCAACAGCGGAACATATATCACTTGCAATGTGTAGGGATTTATAAAGTTAATAGATTTATGAATGAATAAATCTTCATACCTGTAAATGTAATAGTCTGATACCATCACAGCGAGAGTTTCTGCCACTTTCATATGATATGCAAATTTGTAGACAGGTACTCTATGGAGTATGGACCAACTCAGATCATTATTTGTAATGTTATGATTACAAATGATTGATTGGAAAATCACCCCAGGAAACATAACATCTGATTTATAGGAAATCTGTCGCCCGAAAGCAATATTTTTGTCATGACTAAATTTTTCACTACATGATTATAGACCCTATCACATGCATTCATACTGAGTTTTTGTTTCATTTGTGATTATGCATGGAAAAGGGCTCCTTCCTTGCCTTGTGCAATGGGGGAGAAGAGCAAAATAACAGCACGGACAAGCAGTAGTGGGTGTTTGGAGTAGTCTTCGTTGAAAGACCCCTTTAGAAATGATAAACAGTAGAAGCCTTGGATGGATAGGTAATTAGACATGTCAGGAAAGTATGGTATACCTTATTAAACAGGTTGAATAAGGACATAAGTGTGGTTAGGATCAGTTGCTTGACATGATATTTTTCTTCCAAGGATAGATGCATGCAGTCTCTGTTTATGTTGGATAAAGAGAAGTTGTCGCGGGCAGCGTTGCCAGCGAGTTCAGAGATTTCAGCAGTGGTACTCTAGGAAGGCAACTATCCCCCTGTCCACACACAACATTTTCCGTGATTAGCTATACCGTTTCGCGATAGTTTTACGATGAAATTGTGTGTGTGGACGCTCACTAACGATACGTCGTATAACGAAACTAGTCTAACGAAACGCAGGTTTGGGCATCATTTCGAACTGAAACTCAATAAAGAATCACGCCTAATCACGCCTAATCACGGAAAATGTTGTGTGTGGACAGGGGGAGTGTAACTAGTGTAACTAACTGGGCGGGGCTTAACGTGACCTCGAGCGAAAGGAGTCCAGACTGTAGAGTTTCAGGATTACTTTCTTCTGTTTATGGACATCCTTGAATTTATACGATGATTATTTATATGACGTTTCTTGTGTGTGGACACTTTGAAATTTATACTATGATTCTTTATACGACGTTTCGTTATAGAGTTTCGGGATAAATTGTTTTGTGTGTGGACACGTTGAAATGTAAACAAGGGCTCCAGCAAGGACCCTCTGTGCATATTTTTTCACTTTTGTAAAAACCAATGAACACGTCCCACTGGGAACAAAATTCAAAATTGTGTCAAAAATATTCTTTCTAATTTTTGTTTGTTTTCGTACTCTATTATGGCTAATGAGGAAAAGTACTTATGACCCACCCTCTCCCCTTCCCTATGAAGCGTACTCCCGTACAACTACCACCTAGGCAAAACCTTAGGATAAATAACCCACAGGTCAGTTACAAGATACAATTATCCCCCCCACCTTATCTAGGATGATAAACTTGATAGTTGTCTTAGCAGGGTATGAATGATATTTTACCAGTTATCAGAGAAACTGTGTGTTACTTCCGGTTTCCGATAGCAGCTGAGCTCAGTCAGCTCAGGAAGGGGTCTTTAAGCACAGACTAGAAGACCAAAGTCATTGCCATGGCCAATATTTCTGGTAACCATGCGTATCATCTTGTGTCGCAGGGAGCTAGCCATGCGAGAGATTCTCCCTGAGATGCAGCGACCGACGGTGAGAGAGACAGAGACAGATGGCGTTGTTGTTCAATTTAGACTGTAGCACTAGCAGACTACGTTTGAACGACCATCAATGAATGTGTGATTTTGGTACTTCCGGAATTATTAGACACAACCATGTTCTCTTTTCTCTCTGTGCGTTTAGTTGTGATCAATGTGATTTATCCCCCCCCCCCCTCCCCCTCCCCTTTGCTAGCACTGTTCATTGAAGAACGTGTTCTGGACTTCCGGCTAGTTTTGATATAAACATGTTTTCTGCTTCCTCTCTTTCTTTTGTTGTGATCTATATACCCTTGAACTTTTAACTCGAGACTAAGAATACAGTAGCAACTGATCTTGTTACACCTATGATTGTCAGCTAGAATTCTTTATTTGTTTTTATTGTATATCATGTACTATTTAATCACTTTTAAATGTGTTAGTGAAGATTCATTTCACTTTCATATTCTGTTATTAAGAGATGATATAGCATGTATGTCAGTAACCTATGCAGTATGCCTACTATTGTGTAGAGTATGGCATGTGAACAGTGTGCTAGACTATTATAGAGAGATGGGAAGAGACCAATGTGTTTTTTTTTTTGTGTGTGTGTTGGGGGGGGGGGGGGATTCAATTTAGTGGTGCACCGGTACCTCCCATTTGGTTAAACAGTTTTCATTCTGCCATCTAAACACAATTTCGCAATATCATAAGTTTTTTATGTAACCAGGGCAACTGTACTAATCGTATATGTTCACTGTCCATCTCTCACTCAAGGTTATATCTTCATAGCACACTCCAACTCGTACAGTGCCAGCGCTTTTTTCGAGTTGTCCGAACACGACCATAGAAAGAACGTAATCAGACTTGCATAGTCAGGGCACATTGATATAAATGCACTAACCATCTTATTTTTCTTTTCATCTCCTTCAGGGCTATTCCTTCATAGCACCCTCCATCCTGTACAGTGACAATGCCATCACCCAAGACATGCTGACTCAGCCGTCTGAACACAACCGTCCATCCCTCGCATCCATTCTCTCTATACATGAGCTCAAGGTGGGTGCATCCTCCATTTTCTTGTTGCAGAAACAGATCTATCTCCATTAGCCTGATAACTTAAGTTTGCCTGTTAATAAGCCACTTCAGTAATAGCACATTCATGAACTAGGTAAAACTTTTGAAACTGAAACTAGTCCGAAATGTGGCGAGGATCTGCACTTACTGGGTCTTGGCTGAACCCAAATGAACCCTAGGTAACACAAAAGTTGTTTTCAAACTGATCAAGGGTAGTAAAAAAAGCAAAAACTAGGTTTGTAGATTCTCATAACAAAATTTCACACCATTGTCTCTAAAGTGTTGGGAGCCCCAAAACTTAAATGACATCCTCTTTCACATTATGATACAATTTAAGTGAAATTTTGCCATCAAATTTTTGGCGAATTTAAGCTGCCAATATGATTCATCAAACTTTTTGTAATAGATATTCATTCCAACCACTGGACAGACTTTCAGATGATTAAATTTATCATTTCTTTTTTCATTCCAGATATGCACTCCTAGATTATTAAACATAACAACAAGAAACGAATGAATATTTTTTTTTAAAGAAATGTACACCCAGTCTCAAGATATTAAACCTTATTATGATGTTTTTTGTTGTCTTTCATTTTCCTATAGGACTCACCATTCAACAAGTATTACGAGCTGGACATGAAATCAGCACCGATAGGAGATGGAAGTTTCTCTATATGCAGGTAAAAAATTCTTCTGTACTTGTAACAAAATATACTTTTAAGGCAGGGTATTTTAGCGACATCACTACCACTGCTTTAATGTCTCTTCAATTGCGCCATCTTTCGGTGAAGGCATACCTAATTTCCCTTTACTGTGCTGTGCACAAGCATCATCATGTGTGTGTCACGCAGTCGGGGATGTCGACACATGGGGACATTGTGAGCAGTAGATGGCAGTATGAGTAAATCTGAAGTAGAGTCAGAAAAATACCCTTTAAAGCCCCTCTGCACGAGTTTGGCATGGAAGGATTAGACCTCCCTGCAAGGTCACTGGTAGGTGGTTATCTCATCAAATCAGCTCTCAATAAACATAAGAAAAAGGGCATCATGGGGATCAACGGGTACTGCTTAGGCATTGTTGGCTGCATAGAGGGCGCATTTAGCTATAAATAGTGCAGTGGGGCTTTAAAAGAGTTATTATTAAAGCAATATGAGTCATTTACCTTAAAAATAGACATAGATTGAAACAGAAATCGACTCACCTGACTTTTCCTCCATAAATCCCAAAGTTTCTCCAATCAGTTGTTCCTACAACTTTATTTGAAAAATGGCCTTTCTTTAAACCGCATTGCACTCCCTCGTAAACCTATCACCTACTGGCAGAAACACTGACACAAACTGTATTCTTTTATCTAATCTAGATCTTTTTTTGAAATTTGAATGTAAGCCAATTGAATGGGGAACCATGCCCATATTGTGATTCCTTGCTTATGATATTTGTCCATAAATAATAAGATGTAATCAATATTTTAACTGAACTTTCAGGAGATGCACACATAGAAAGACGGAAAAGGAATACGCAGTGAAGATCGTCAGTCGACGGGTTGCCTGTACGCAGGAGATCACCACGCTACAACTCTGCCAGAAACATCCCAACATTGTCCATCTCAAAGAGGAATTCAAGGATAAGGTCAGTTTGAATGATGTTTAATATATTTGATAATCACTATCAAAGTTTACTATAACTTCACACTGGTGCTGTATGAATTGTATTCTCTTTTTTTTTATTATGTGTAATTTGTGTTATAAATGAAGTTGAGTGTCAAACTGTATTGAAGGGGGTGTAGCACGACGAGACTACGTGTCCTTCCCGGGGCCTGATTCGGAGCCAATCGGGTATCGTACGACTATGGACGACGCGACCGTGCTTGCAACAAATATGCGAAACCGAAGTGGGGGGAGAGCTTCGGTCTGTTTCGTGAACGCTAGCGTGCGCTGACCGTCAATCAAGTCCATTCGTTTATGTGCAGTTGTCCAAAAGATGTTGAAGATGGTGTTAACCAGTATTTGCCATGCTACACCCCCTTTAAAGAGTTAATATTTGGAGATTAGATGTGTAGTTAGAATATATTGAGCTGTGATAGTTAGGCATTTGCTGATGTGGAGCAATAAGTATCTATAAGCTTATGAATTCATAATGAGACCAGATTCATTATATTATAAATTATCAATTATCAAAAGGAAATCATTTTCCCTTTTATCGAAGGATGTTTAAAGTTCACTTATTTACAGAAGAGAGCGCAGAACCTGATATTTATCCTCTTCTGTAAACTACAATTATATAATTCCTGTTGATTACACTTAAATGATTTTAAGGACTAACAAGGCTTAGGAACTAATAACCCATTAATATATCTTTATTTTCCTGATCTCAAACTTGCAGCTCCATACATACATCATCATGGAACTATGTAAAGGAGGAGAGCTGTTGGGTAGAATCCGAAAGAAGAAACACTTTGATGAGCTAGAAGCCAGCATGATCATGAGGAAACTCGTCTCGGCGGTGGATTACATGCACAGTAGAGGGATAGTGCATAGGGACTTGAAACCAGAGGTAAGAGTATAGGTCTGTTTGTTATTCCTTTCTCTATTGGTTCTTCTTTTCTCTATTGGTTCTTCTTTTCTTCATCTATCTTTGTTGTGATCATGAGGAAACATGCATAGTATGCGGATGAATACATGCACAGTATTGGGATAGTGCATAGGGACTTGAAATCAGAAGAACGCTTTTGCTCTGTACACCTATTGGGTATTTATCAGCAAATTTGAACCAGCTGTTACAGATATGTGGTTATTTGGACATTGAAGGAAAAAAAAGGAACACTTTTTGGCCAATATGGCTATGGAATGTGTACCATAGTACCAAAATTGATGGGATGAAAATTACTGTTTGAGAAGCCTTTGTCCCATATACCATATTTGGGCCAATCTGAAGCGGTAAGGTATACACTTCTAAAAAAAATGGTTATATGACATAGAATGACCACAAACTTTTAGCAAATCTTGACAACTAGTAAAATTTTTAAAGGTTTCTTGCACATTGAACTTTCTGGATATTTTAGTAGTTTGAGTGATAAAGGATGGAGTGAGTGTGGGTCCTCCTTAAAGAATTGATCCATGTAGCTTTCATATAGTTCCTGAAAGTGTTCATAATTCTTCTTTATTCCCCTTTCCAACTCACAGAACATCCTCTTCACCGATGATTCCGACGATGCTGAACTGAAGATCATCGACTTTGGCTTTGCGCGAATCACTAACAGCAACCAGCCTCTGAAGACCCCTTGCTTCTCTCTCCACTTCGCCGCTCCTGAGGTACTCAAGAGGGCATACGAGCAGGATGGGGAGTACGATGCTTCCTGCGATGTCTGGAGCTTGGGAGTTATCCTGGTGAGTACAGAGTGTCGGGTCCTTGATGGGGGTTGGAACCACTTCAAGCAAGACTGCACTACTTGTTCCTACTTGCGCCCTCTATATAGCCAACAATGCCTAAGTGGTACCTGTTGGTCCCCCATGATTCCCTTTTCTTATGTTAATTGAGAGCTGATTTAGGGACACTGATTTTCCGTTTCAAAAAATGGCCTTTTCCGTTTCAGAAAATCTTGAATTCCGTTTCAGATGGGCTGAAAAACGGAAATTCCGTTTTGCCATAGACTTTGTACACATGAAAAAACTAAAATTCCGTTTACATAAGATTTTCATTAAAACATGAACTTGTAGGGTACAAAAGTTCTATTAAAGCCGCCACCTTTGACAAGCCACTGATAACCACTCAAAAACATACGGACGGGACTGGATAAACTTGATGCAAAATACTAGTGAAAATATAGACCCCTATGGGCCCTAGAGTCTAGGCTAGACCTACGAAAAATTATCAAATGTTTAGATTTACCAACTTCAAATTCGAACTTAGACTAACAGACTAAAGTCAGCTGAATGTATCAGAACACGACATATTCTTGACGGAAATGCAGAGTAGTACCGACGTCAACGAAAACATTTTCAGTCTTGGCTGTCATGTCCGCGATCGATCGATTTTAGGCGCACATGCCAGCCCCTTTTTCGAACTGTACAACAGCGTGTGTACAATCTCGCCGCACGTAGCGCCCGCTACTGGCGTGTGTGTGCCTAGTATTACGTCTACGTAATACTAGGCGCCTAGCTGGCATAATCGGATTGTTTCGCTGCTATTTGTACCGTGTTTTACGCCATGATCTCTATTGGTCCAGCGAAACAAAATGGCAGCGCCCGGTCTCCTAAGAATCTGACGAATATCGCTAAATATTCGGAATTATTAACCATGATTTGAGGCCCAATATTTCTTAACTGCATAATGAGTCACAAAAATAGTGTAAGTTTTACGATTTTCTTCTTGAAAAATGAAAAGTTTTGGGGAAAAAGGGGTTTTCCGCGATTTTCCGTTCGAAATTGCATTTTCCGTTTCAAATGGTCAATTCCGTGAATTCCGTCCGTTTTCCGTGATCGCGGAAAATCAGTGTCCCTACAGTTGATGAGATAACCACCTGCCAGTGACCATGCAGGAAGGTCTAATCTAACTCTGTCAGTTGGGGCTCTGATCAGGTCGGAAGATCGGAGCGAGACCCTCGCACCTTTGATCGCTATCGGATTGGAAGATCGACCAAAAAAATCGACCAATTTTTGAAGAAAAAAAATTTGTAGGCATGTAGGCATGCATTATAATCCAAGATGGTGGCCCGCATGTTTTGCCTCTTCTCTTAGACCAATATTATTAATTTCAAAGTCATGAAAAGGCACTAAATATCAACAAACATGGTCTACAACAACAACTCCACATGACAAAATAATCCTAGCTATGAATTTTTTTTAAGCATTTGATAGCCAAAAACTTGAAAATTTTCGGCATTAAAAAAAAAATCCAAAAAAAAATCTGCCTATCATTCCTTTTGATCAGCGATCAAAAATTATTATCCGATCACCCCTGATCGGCTCAAGATCGGCCCCCGATTCGATCATCTGTTACAGGCCTAGTCTAATCCCTCCTGGCCAAACTAGTGCAGATAGGCTTTTAATGTAAAAGTATTTTTACCAAAAGGTCATCCATGACATACTTAGAAAGGCATGGTCTATTTGTCTTTTTTCTTACTTTTGATTTCAAGGGATAGAGATTTTGTTTGAAGGGTAACATATGATTCTGATAGGCATAAAAGCCCTGATTTTCGAAAAATATGTAGTATAATGTCATTATTCTAGTGACATGAGCATATTTTCTTCGCTTATACTACAGTTAAACTTTTTCTATCCAATCTATTTGCAGTTTTTATTATTCGTTGTAAATTTTATTGCAATCAAAGAAAATTCCAGTTTTATAATCAATACCAAACTTAAAGATTGCTTGTTCTTCTCTGATTTTGAAAATGTTGTGATTGTTTCTGGCATTGTCATTGGATTTGAATTTCTCTCACTCTCTCTCTCTCTCTCTCTCTCTCTCTTTTAGTATACAATGTTGTCAGGCAGGGTGCCGTTCCAGGATCCCAGTATATCTAAGAGTAACAGTGCATCCGACATCATGAAGAGAATCAAGCACGGTAACTTTAGCTTCGATGGAGAGGAGTGGAACTCTGTGTCTACTCCAGCCAAGGATTTAATCAAAGGTAATTGGTTAGATATATCTTCATTTCTCTTTCAGTTCAGGAAAATGATATTAGAAAACATTAAAAATGACATGACCAGAAGAAAGTCTTGGTTATCAAAAATGAAACATCACATGAAATGTCTTTTTGAAAGAGTACAATTTGTAGAAGTAGGGTAAGTTTTATATCTCATCTCAGAAAAAAGAAGACAAAATCTGAATGCACCAATGGATTGTCATTTTGCTTTAAAGTTCTCCACATGCCCTCTCAGACACTTGAACTATAACTATTCCATATTTACCACTAGAATTTTTTTTTTTTTAGAGTGGACCATATACTTTGCATTGTTTATTGACTTGCTATTAACTGAATCAACGCTTGTAAGTATATTTAATTTCATTGGAATTACATGGACAGTTCATATCGAGCATGGATAATATTGTGCCTGAGTTTTCCCCGAAAGTGTATGAGATCTTAAGCCTTTATCTTTGATTTATTTGTTTCTTCTCCTTGAGGTTTGCTAACTGTTGACCCAAGTCGGAGATTGACCACCGATGATCTCCTTCAGAATGAATGGATCCAGGGCCAGCAGCTCTCCACCTCAACCCCCCTGATGACACCAGACATCCTCAATTCATGTGCCTCAATCCAGAAGCGTGTCAAGGCCACCATGCGTGCATTCCACACCGCCCAACGTGAAGGATTCCTCCTCACCGACGTGTCCAACGCACCCCTGGCCAAGCGACGTAAGAAGAAGAAGGATTCGTCGACGGAGACTCGCAGTAGCTCCAGTGAGAGCACGCATTCTCAAAGTTCCTCCTCACAAGAGAGTACGACTCCAACCCCTACAGCGAACCCCGTGCTCACGATCCCCGTAACGACCGTTTCTTGTGCACCACGAACAACGACCGCTACAGGTGCGCCATCAATCCCTTCCGTTCAGCCTCTTCCAAGCCTCAGTAAGCAGACAGGCGCCAGATTGGACCAGTATGAGAGCTTGGAATCCTTAGGTTTCTCGCCAATCCTGCCCTTCTCTGCAGGAGGCTCGCAGGAGCTCCCGCCCCTGCTCGCGAGGCAGGATTCTGGTTACGTCGGACAGATGCCCTCATACACGCAGGTCACACCAGTGCCAAAGACAAATGTAGGACCCCACGGGGTCACCTACGCCCCCATTCTGGACCCCTCCATGTACCCTTGTGGACTCCAACAACCCATCCTGGACTTCTCCAGTTCCATCCCGGAGTATCTTTCGGTGCAATACGCGTCAACAGAGCAACCTTCGATACCTATGACAGTACCCCGAACACTTCATCAACCCCACCCCCATCCCCTTCCCCTCCCCCATCAACACCTCTCGCATTTGCCAACCATCAGTGAAGACCCATCCACGACGTGATTCTACTCCCCTGCCTATAAAGGACGGACACTGGGTGTCTGAAAGAACTTTGAAACATAAGCATATCAGGGCTGTATTATTAAAGTAACCTCAAAAAGTGTTTTTATTACTGTACTAATTGATTTTTTTGAAAGCATGTTTAGTAGTATTGTATTTATGAGAGACAGGAATATTATGACAAGTACCAGAGGGGCAAACCAAAGATGCATGTGTGTATGCGCAAATGGAAAAAAGGTGCTTTGAAAACTAACTGAGAAGAACAATGCAGATTTGCAAGAACCTAGCACAGATTTCAAGAAAGGCTTTAGCATAGGTGCCTTTTGTTGAAGATTTGTGGTGAAAAGACTTGGTAGCCTATTTTAAAGAGCCAGCGGAAGGGCAAGATCATGATTTAAATGGATGACACCATGATCCGGACTGAGCCAATGAAGGGGCTGAACATGATCTGGATGGAGCCTATAGACTTTGAAAGGACTAAATCATGACCTGGCCCTGTATTTATCCAATAAAAGGCCAAAATCATGATTTAGACTTAGCCTATAGCCTGTGCAAGGACTACATCATGATCTGGACATCGCATTTAGCCTATGAAAGGACTAAATTATGATCCAATCTGAAATGAAGAGATTAAATCCTGATCTAGATTGAAAGTGTAGACTATGTGGAACTTATCTTAAGCCTATAGAAGAACCAAATCATGATTTAAACTATAGCCTACGATAGGACTGGAAAGAACTGGATCTTGATGCAGACTTAGTCTATAAACTATGAAACAAGGAAATGGTGATCTGGACCTACTTCATGGCCATCTAGAGGGATTGTGCATGTGGAACTTACGAAGACAGCTTTAGGAAATGTCTGAACTTGATTGATTGTTTAGAACAACCATCTAACAATACCAACTCCTAAGAAATATATGCACATTTAACCAAAGTCAGTATTTTCTATGATGTCATGCAAGCAATAAGATTTGTTGGAAATATATATTTGTGTGTGCGACAAAACATTTCCTTTGATTGATTGATTAGTTAATTAATTAGTTAATTGATTGTATAACACGGTATAACTGTGTTTCATCCAACAGTTAAAATGGAGGAAATAGCTGTAAACTTTATGACCGGTTGAATACTAAGCAAGAGATATCTTGCGTCAGACTCTAGAAATTTCCAGTCATACGAAAATCAATGACAAAGCTTTGTAAACAATCAATCAGCATACAAAGTTACATTGGTATCATGATGTACTGGTCTTTTATCAGTCATTTTGATTTTTTTTGTTTTGCCTTTGGCAAAAGCTTAAAAGCTTTTCTTCTCGCATATGGTTTGGAAAAAAGCACAAATACAATAAGCCGCTTCGGAAATAGCACTTTGAAAAATTACCCCCAAATATCCACAGATCTTTTACCAATAGAGACGTCCCACTTTGTGCATTTGAGAATAATCACTGCCAAAGTGATGGAGGTGCTTCATGAATACATTTTGTTTGCCCTCTTGAAAGCATCCTTCCACATGTGTATCATAAAATGTACCACTAGTGCATAAATGAATAATGATTACATAACTTTCAGCAGTTGTCTTGATGGGTTTTACGGTTATGTGCGAATGACCTTTATCTTCCCATACACAGATAGTGTCTCTGAAGTGGCTTATTCACACAATACCATAATACAGATATTCTAATTGCTTCCATACAGTTCAGGGTTAAGCACGTTGCTTAGCAGAAGCCCAAGGAGGGCAGGCCATCCCTTGAGCAGGTGATGATTTTTATTGTACACTTGGATGCTCATGAATCAGAAGTATTTGAGAGGTGTCATGGTCTAATCTCTTGACTGGGAATGCGAAGGTCGTTGGTTCGATCCCCGGTACAGCACTTTTGTCCTTGAGCAAAACATTTTATCCACATTGCTCCCCTCCACCCACATGATAAATGGGTACCTGCACTGTAACCGGTAGGATGTGAACGCCATTGTGTTTGGATTAGCATCTGCCCACCCGTAAAAAGGTGACTGCCTGGAATGCTCTGCAAGAACTCCTCGGACTGCATATCAGACTCGGGGATTGTTTGAGAGAAGGACAGATTTTGACAGGTGGCGTTTGTCAGATGTGGCCGTAGCTGGTTGGAAGAGATAGTTACGTCACCTGAAGTTTTCCTGATTGGTCAGTCATTTAGTTCCCTTCCATAGAGATTTAACATGGGAGGGAGCTATTTAGAGCTCCATGATTTGACCTATGACCGCTTGCATATGTTTATATGCACTTGTCACAACTATCTCTTTCAATATGCTATGGATGTGTCATTTTATTGATTGTGTTTTGCTTCATCATTGCAAAACATCATTACCTGAATAGGTTAAAATACTTGAAATATATTTCCAACAAGTGCCTTAGTTCTTTTCTCTTTATTTAAAAACCAACTACTGGATTTATTGAAATAAGTATGCAAAAATAATTTTATGGACCCTGGGTTCAAAATGCTTTTACCATCAGAATTAGAAAAAGTTTGCAAAATTGAAATCATTGAAGAAACAGACAACATATTGTCATTGAAAACCTCATGAAAGCAACTAAAAGATTGATTATTGTTCGATTTGAATGACTATTGGATATATTGGTTTGATTGAATGATTAACATGTAGATCCACAAACTAAAGTGATTACTCTGAAAATGTAATGTCTTGTTCATTTATGCGTGACATGCCATATAGGATTAAGTGTTATGTGCTTCCAAAAGATAGGGTTTTCAAAAGATAATTGTTTACTAACATTCTTCGAAATGTATATATCTTCCTTGCATTGGCTGTGCGTGAAAGGAATAGCTGTGATAAAGCTAAATAAATCTGTCACAAGAGAGATGGTGTCAGGAAAAAAAAATGTGTGCATCAAGGAACAAAGACTTTATTCGTTATTAATGAAATATCTTCATGACAAAAAAATGTTATTAACTTTGATTGATTAGTATATATTCTACCTGAAATGGTAAAAGGAAATAAGGGCATTCTTGTACATAAGCAGGCAGAGGGGGGGGGGGGGGGGGGGGAAAACAGCTGTAACTTCTATTTGAGGGATTGAAGTAATAAGGTTGAAAGACCCAAGTGCACTGGTAGTTTTGGGGGGCTTTGAATCCAGGACCTTTCTTTCAAGACCATTGCTTTGACCACTAAGGGATGCTTTCTTTGGTTCCATATGTATTTTCTTCATACATGAAATTATGAACAAACTGCAATGTTTGATTTGCTTAATTTATTGAGAGGAGTAATTTACAATAATTTTTAACTATTCATTTCTTGTGGACACAGAGGATATACAATGATATTTACATTAAGGGCTCGTTCGGATAAAGTTGCTAAACTGCCGCATAAAGAGCCGCCCGTTATATATTTAAAAAAACATGTAAATGAATGTCAACTACGTGCAACCAGGGAGGTGAAAGAAAAGGAGGCGAAACTCTTGTAATTTATTCTAACGCATTCTTGAGTTCTAAAGCGTAACAATGGGATGTGTAACATTCCACTTGGCTTTGAATTTCCATGCTCCGAACCGCGCTTCCACTGCGGGGACTTTCGGAAGCCAGGCACCAGTTTTACATTTATTACAAAATATTAAATTACCGGCAGAATTTCAGTGTAAATCTAAAACTTTATATGGGGATTTTATTTGGAATAGTGCATCAAACAAATTTTCAAATTTAGAACTCCGTCCTTCCTTTAATTTGTGTGCCAGAGTTGGTAAAAGAAAATTACATCCTGTCAAAAACTCAATATTTTAGGATGATGCGCTAATTTGTGCATGCTTTAATGCCCCGTTATTTGATCCATGATTTACAATCTTCAATAACATTAAGTTTGCTAATGCGTGTTTTCGCGTGTTTTTTGTATTTTTCAAGTTTAAAAAAAGGATGAAAGTACACAAGTTTGTGTTCGCTTGTTCTACTCTTTACACATTCAACAATGGATGAGAAATCATTGGAAGGGACAGCGAACAGTTGCAGTGATACTATTTTCTGATGTAGGAATTCTAAATCCTGAAATTTCATGCGCTCTTTTATCTCACCACCTGGTCAACAGTTGTAGATTAGCGCATAACTTTTCGGCGGCTTGGAGCATGGGGTCAAAGGAGAGCGGCTTGATTCCAGTCCTTCTCTAACACGTCCCTGGTGCAACAAAGGACTTGTGCGTAATCCCTGAGCCCTTTGTTATGAGATAGAGAAATGTGAAGTGTATTACACTTTACGCCATCACGAAAAAAACCCTGCTGAGTTTTTGCCACGTCTTATCTGAATAAGCGTTAATTGTCAAACAAGATTTTGAGTTCTTTAATAGAGACTCCTAGGTAGTACGTGTGGCATCTGCCTGTCAGAGACATGATTTTGCAGTGGATGTCCATGCCAATTTATATGAATATTTTCCTTCTTCCATATTCATATAGCATATTTTGAAGAGAATTCTGATACAGAAATTTCATTGATTGTTCTTCATAGGCCGTTATGTAAAATCACTTCATTCTGGTGCTTCTACCTTTAATAGATTAATGCTATGGAATATTGAGTAGGCAGGCACTGAATGGCAAATAATTTGAATTCGTCTTCCAACTTTATTGAGAATAGAACTAGACTTTTGGTTAGTGAAAAATAGAAATAGCCAATAGGAAATGGGTGTTGGTCTAGAAAGTCATACCAATTTTAATAGCAAGATGAGAAAGAGCTTTGTTTTTTAAGTATCACTATTTGGGAACTCATGGTTTTCACATAATTCCTTGTAAAATGTCTTGGGTTTGTTCACAGCATCATTGAGATATAATATGTATGCCACATAGTCTATTTGATGCCTGTACTGCTCTGATAACTGTTTATTTTATCAACTGGACTGAAACAAACCACAAATTTTATGTTTGCATTTATGGGGTGTTGATTTTTTTTTTGCCCAAATACAGTTCTCTGGTCTAGGTTTTGCCAGTGAAGGCAGTTTATTGAGTAATGAAGTACCGTACATGTTTTTCTGGAGTTGTGGTCAGATTCTCATTTGACTATTGAAAGCTGGTTATGCCTTGCATTTTACCTAGGAAGTACTTGCTGAAGTCGAGTAGTCAAGTTGTTTATTCAGTTGACTGGGAATGCCAAGGTCATACGTTTGAGACCCGGTACAGTTACTTTGACCACCCAGTTATGCTTTCTCTGCACATATCAAGAGTTTGTGTGCCATGGAAGCCATACTGTACTAGTAGCACTTCCACAAAATTATGCACTGTTGGCAAGTTGACCTTGAGATGGCGCTGTGCAATTAACAGTTCGCTAAGGCAGAAAGTTCATCAGTTCAGTATCGCCTTAAGATTTGTTCATGGATGAATTATCTGAACAACTGAAACATTTGCTTCGATGAATTTATTGACTGGAGTAATATACTAAAACTTTTGAATTGTTTATAATTCACTTGAGCAGAGAGCAAGACATTTCCACAAAGCAGTTTACCTACATGGCTTCTTTCCAAACAGTTAAATGGGTACCTGCTAGCATATAACTGTCATTTTCACTGGATTTAGCACATTTGGTTGTGTTTGTTTCAAAATGGCTGCCAGACTGGAATGCTTCCAAGTGGAGTGGAGAATGTACTATTGCTTATCGTGGAAAGCAGTTCTGATTTGTGAAAATGTCATAGTGTGAATAACTGAATCACAAATGATATGACACAGACAGAGAATCTTGAATTTCACATGCATCGTGAGTTTCCTTTTCCACGATAATCACTCAAAACCTGTGACAATTTCAAGCTGGAAATGATTCTGGTTTGACAGCATCATTTCCTTGATCAGAGCTTGAATTAGACTGTAAAGATTAAGTTTGACTTATTAATTGTTAGAGAGAGAGAGAGAGAGAAAGAGCATTCCTTCTTTGTCACATATATTTATCATGTACATTGGAATTTATCAGTATTTTTTGTTGTCGTCTATTGGAAATGATTCTTCTCCTTCGACCTAAAAGAGGTACATGTATCTGTTTAGTGTTTATAGTTGTAATAGTATCCTATATTTTATATTGTACAGAGAGATAGATAAATTGTATTTTCTTATTTCTATATTTCATACATCATTACCTATTTGATTGAACATGTGCTAAGCACAGGACCTTTCAAAGTGTTGTTGCGTAAGTAACACATATCTTAACTTTTTTGGCTGTAATATTAATGGTCTATTATTTCCAATCAAAATCACAGCCATTCAGTCTAGCAATTACAGTTCAAAGTTCGTTCACCCCAAAAAAGCAGTGATATAAATTAAGGAAGTCAATGTATACACTTGTATTATTTAAAAATACCTTAAGAAACCCTTTCTGACATATTTTTAAAAAATCTCTCTTCCTTTAATTATTCTGGGAGAAATCAGTTATTTTCCCCTTTTTCTTGAAGAATAGTTATACTATTGGCTTCCTGCAAGATTCTGTTACCACCATTGACAATACACACAGGTAGCTGTTACGGCTTTCTTGCAGTTAACCAAAGACATAGACATATTTTTGAGTAGATTTCTTTTAGAGGAATAGAGGTATTAACTATGATTTTGAACACAAACGGCTTGTCTTACTACTAGTAACTAAAAAAATGATGTTCTTAGGCTAATGGTACTCTGCCTAATTTTAAATTTACAAAAAAGAAATGGAATCAATTTCTATTTTTTCCATATATTCATCATGTAAAAAAATAGCACTGTTGTTTTGACGTGATTGTTTGGGGCTACACAAGTTGACTTTGGTCGGGTTTTAGACTAGGTTAGTGAATGCCAAGAAAATGATATTTCATACAAGCAGGTAATTTTTTTTCTTGACAGTTTTAGCCTTTTTGCAGACAGATTCGACATCTTTGTCTTTTACAATGTAAAGGAGGTTTCAATGAATATGAATGGAATCTTTTTATAAATGATTTGCAAGATTCCTAAATTAGGAATTCAGACAAGTGAAGTGACTTTTTTATTCTGAAAAGTATATGTTACATTTATAGCATTGTAAAGGAAATCTTACATATTTATCAGTGTCTTGACGGAAAAGTGCATGAATGAATAATTGTATGTAATTAATTTTTAGCCTATCAAGTTCCATTGTATTTACCATGTACTGTAATTTATGAAAATATAAAGTTTGTAAATTGACAATAGCATTTCAAAATGTCATATTTTAGATACTTTAATAACATATGTTGTATAGCAATTTTCTGAGGCATTCTAAAAATGTATTGCACAATTTTACAGAGGTGTTAAATATCTATTAAACTTTTTTTAAATTTTATTATATAGCATTCTATGGGACCAAATATACTAGCTTTTCTATATAGGTTTATGTATATACAAACTATATAACAATGTATATATTAGTCTGAAGAATTATGTTAAAAATTAGGAGAGAGAGAGATATGATGTG